GGTGCCTGGCCTTCAGGTGAATCAGGTAGGATTGACTATAGATTTGGGACAAATTTCAGACCTACCTTACTGGAAACAAAATCTTTTCACCATGTAACAAATATGGCAAAAAGCAGTATCAGTAAAAAGATATTCTGTAGTTTTACAGCAGTGCACTTTCAAAAGAGCTAGTGAGAAAATTTGAGCAGAAATATTTTCCATTCAATTAATTTTCTAGAAAGTTGTTGCCTTTATAAAATCCTCATTTTTTCCTTTGGAAAAAAAAAATAAATTAAAAGAAAGTATCCCAGTCTATATCTACATGTCTGAGAATGATGTTTTTTTATTCTATTATGTAGTGCTATTCAAATTATGCTATTAAAAATACCACGTGAACCTTTAATCTTGTCAGATATATAACTGGTAGGACCATTATGCTTGCATATTAGTCACTCTTTCTCTTACCCTGCATATGCAAAAAATACCTTTTAAAATACATTTCTGTTACAATTCAAGTAGTTTGTTGATTGCTACCAATAATAATTATCACACTTTCTACTTCTGCTGATACAGTAAAACAGTCTGAAAGAAGTTCAAGCAAGAGAAGAGCTAAACATGTAGACTGTATCCAGGTACTCTAACCATTCACCATCTACCCTTCTGCAGTTGATATTTCTCAAATTATGAGTAATACTTTCAAAAAGAGAGGGCAGAGGAATTAAGATGCTGAAATGCTTCACTCATTTTTGACAACAGGCCCTTATGTGGCTCAAAACTTCTATTTCATGACTATTCTAAGAGAAATTTGTATTCATAATACATAAAAGTTAACATCATTCAACTTCCACTATAGAGAAAGCAAGGTTTCATTTCAATGCATGAGCTGGTCAAAACAGATCCTAAGAAGGAAAGAAAAGTTTATCTTGACCACCTAATCTGTTTAAACTGCAAGCAGCCATGTTAATATTAGTTTTTACTTGTTTAAAATGCATGCTGGGAGGAAACATTTTCTCCACAGGGTGAACAAGACCACATATAGACAAACAAATGATTCACATACTTTCCTGGCCAACAGTGCCTCTGTGCAATGGAACTAATTTTTTTTTTCATGTTTCCTACATTCACTTCAGTAATATCTACTGTGATTCTAAGGGAATTGTTTCAAAATAAATTTAACTGAAATGAAGACACATGGACAGAAAAGGATAAAATTCCATTTGCTGTGGGCCAGAATGCATATATGTTGTCTTACCTCCAATGGAAATGACTGCATTGAAGCATTGGTCCCTAAAGGGAAGGTTAAGGTTGTCACATACCAGAACTTCATCATCTTTCTTCCTTGCAATCTCTACCAAAGGTCCACAGTAATCACAGCCAAGATTATATACCTGACTGTTAACGCTGAGATACTTTCCAGTTCCACAACCTGAAGATAAGAATACTAGGTCAGAAAATGCATGTTCCAAACAGTTGCTATCCCCCCCTAAAGCAATGAAAAAAATACAAGGAGGCTTTACTAATTCTAAGATTACCTAGAAAACAAGATGAGAGCTTCCCTCTACTAGTCTAACTGCAGCAGAGTTCATTTGGACTGTTTGAAATTACATGTTCACACCAGTAGGAGTGTAACAGTATAAACTTCACCAATAAAAATGCTCATTACACAGCCCTATGCAATCAAACAATCACACAATCATAGAAAAGGTTGGGAAAGACCTTCAAGATCATCAAGTCCGAGCATCCACCCTATGACCCCTAACCACTAAACCATCTCCCAAAACACCACATCTACCCTTTTTTTAACACCTCCAGGGATGGTGCCTGCACTACCTCCCTGGGCAGCCTGTCCCAATGCCTCACCACTCCTTCTGTGAAGAAAGTTTTCCTAATATCCAATCTGAACAGCCTTACAACTTGACCCCATTTCCTCTCATCCTATCCCTGGTCACTAGGGAGAAGAGGCCAAAACCTCCTCTCAGGTAGTTGTAGAGAACAATGAAGTCCCCCCTCAGCCTCCTCCTCTGCAGGCTGAACAGTCCCAGCTCCCTCAGCCTCTCCTCATAAGACCTGCTCTCCAGACACCTAATCAGCCTCACTGCCCTTCTCTGCACATTCTCCAGCACCTCAATGTCCTTCCTATACTGCACTGCCTTAAACTGCACATAGTATTCCAGGTGTGGCCAAGTACAGGGGCAGGATCACCTCCTTGGTCCTGCTGGTCACACCATTCCTGATGCAGGCCAGGATGTTTTTGGCCTTCTTGGCCACCTGGGCTCACTGCTGGCTCATGTTCAGCCAGCTGTCAACCAGCAGCCCCAGGTCACTCTCTGCTGAGCAGCTCTCCAGCCACTCCTCCCCAGGCCTGTAGTGCTACTGGGGTTGTTGTGGCCAAAGTGCAGTACCCAAAATTTGGCCTTATTGAAACCCATACAATTTGCCTTGGCCCATCAATCAAGCCTGTCTAGATCCTTCTGGAGAGCCTCCCTCCCCTCAAGCAGATCCCACCCAACTTAGTGTTATCTGCAAACTTACTGAGGGTGCACTCTAGCCCCTCATCCAAGTCACCAATAAAGATGTTAAACAGGAGCAGCCAACTGGACTCCTGTGGCAATATCAGCCTTGTTGGCCTTGCCTCTAATCCTGATCCAAATGCACTCTACCTTGTCATCATTATAGTCTAGTTCTAGACATTCATAACAATCCCTACTATACAGGGCCACCTCACCACTTCTTCTTCCTTGTCTGTCTTTCCTGAAGAGCTGATAGCCATCAACAATGGCATGCCAGCAGTGTGAGGTATCCCACCATGTTTCTATGACAGCCACTATGCCATAGTTTTTCTGCTCCATCATGGCTTCGAGCTCCCTTTGTTTATTGCCCATGCTGCATGCATTGGTATAGATGCACTTCAGATGGGTTAATGGTCTCGACACCTTTTAGTGGGCACAGGCCCTAATTCTGCCTGACCCTTCTGAGGCACTTCCATTGCTTCTAAACCATCAATAGCCCTTGTTTTTTTGCTTCCCATTATATCTCTATTCTGTGTCTTGACTTAGACAGCAGAGGGAGAGTCTTCTCTAACACACCGTCCTACAAACCCCAGCACACATCCTCCAGGCTTATTTACAGCAGGCACAGATTTATCCCCTTCCCCTTTCAAATCTAGTTTAAAGCCCTGTCAATGAGCCCTGCTAACTCCTGCCCCAGGATCCTTTCCCCCTCTGGGACAGGTGCATTCCATTTGTTGCCAGGCCTGGTGTCTTGTCTAGTAACCCATGATCAAAAAGTCCAAAGCCCTGCTGATGATTCCAGTCCCAGAGCCATGAACCAACCTGTTGACTCTTCCTGGTAATTCCCTCATCTATTGCTGCCATTAGAGGGAGGGAAGAGAAAATAATTTGTGCTCGTGATCCCTTAACCAGTTTCCCTAGAGCCCTGAAATCTCTCTTCATCACTTTTGATGTTCTAGTTGCCACTTTATCACTATCCAATTGAAAGAGCAAAAGTGGGTGGTAATCTGAAGGCCTCACCAGGGTGAGAAGTTTACTTATGACACCCTTTATCCAGGCCCCAGGAAGGCAGCAAACTTCCCTATGAAGGTTATGTGTATTCCCTTCCCTAACAAAAGGCTATGTGTATTTCTTCAGGGATGAAGGGTAAGTGCAGGTGGGAGGAGGAAGAACTGATCCTCTGCAGCCACTATTGCTTATCTTAGAGCAACAAAACAACCATGATGCTTCATACTGGGCCTGTATATAGCCTGGTAACCACTTTCCAGCAGGATCACAGATGGGCACCCAAGAAAGAGTAAGAACAGGGTAAGCATTTTCCTCAATATCCCTCCAGCTTCCAACTACTTTCTATTCAGGAGTTTTCCAGAAGCCAGTGTGGTTTGTCTTTTTAGTGACCTTTAATAGATCTCTATTCCAAGAAATTCCTCATGCAGTACCTCTCCAGAGCATCCCACTTCTCTCCAAGAACTCCTAAACCACAGCTGTTACTGACACAAGTCAGAGAGGACAATTCCCACTTCAGATACAGACTTGAAAATAAGCATGAACTGTAAAAATTCCTGACATGTCACAGGGGTGCCCTCTTTCTGCCTTTGAGCCAAGGGCATGTAAACATAACTAGCAGCTCCAGAAAGTCTTCCACCTAAAAGAATGTCTTCTCAAGGACTGTGCTGTATGAAATTGAAATCTTTCAGAGTGTTCTCTTCAATACTGTATGCATAACAGGCACTTTTCAAAATTAGATTAGGAAACGTTCACTGCAGTTATGGGTCAGTAGTGAAGAATAATTTCTGAAAGTTGACAGCCAAGCAACAGGGTAGCAGCTTGGCAAAGAGAACCATCTCTGTATTGGTAATGCAATTTAAAGGCCTGGAGTTATCTTTAGAAACATCACTGCTTCTTGCAGCGCTGCTGCTCTCGTTGATGTTAATGTGCACCATTATCTAGAGAGACAGCAGAGGAACTGCTGGAGAACAGCACAACACTTCCATGGTGAAAAAAGAGCGTATTTCAAAAGCAAAAAGCAAGCACTGTTATTTGAAGTAACACTTGAAAGAAATGGGAAAGATTACTATTGTTAATGCAGCTCAAGGAATATATGCAATAAAAGATGAAGACCTGCATGTTAGAAAGCACGAGTTTTAAAACCATTATAAAGTAGTATTGGTTTCTACGTTTGCAGAAGGAACACATTTAGTCAAACATACATTAATTTAGAAGATTTGGTTGCTTAATACATGTTTTTTTGGTGGAGTGTTTTTTAATCATACTGAGTTTTTGGAAGTATAGAGTTCTCTGGAATGAAGATGAATGCTGACAACACTCTCAGTACTCTGAACATGTACATTTGCAGGAGACTCACTTTTAAATGAGGCATCAGGAAGTGGGCTCCTTCATGAAGTTGTTAACAATTGCCATCCTATTGTTATTTATTTTGATAAAATAACAATAAAAAAGAAATCATAAAAATGATATTTCAATCTGCTACCACTACCATGCTTCATGTAAAGCTAGCAAACAAAAACATTTTTAGAAGGTGGTATTAAACAGAAAATGAAATTATCAATTAAACATCTAATTTTGAAAATTTTGGTGCCCCTAGGCAACCCACCTCCCAAAATACATACCAAAAATGGACACAATATTCAGACACCTGAGATCTTATTAAACCTCTACAAAAGGAGGTCCCTAATGTGCCTTGATGGGAATATTCTTATTGGCAACTGTAAGCATCTACCTCCTCTCCAGATATAACATATGCACTTAAATTATTTCAGCTGAAACTGTAAGAACATTGTCTTAAGCTTCTAGAAATCACTGTGATGCCTGCTGATATGGCCTCAAAGAACTTCAGCTAAACTTCAAATTACTTCTGTTGAGGTGATAAAAAATGTTGACAGAGAAATATTGTGATAAGATGGCTGTTGAATGAGTGCATGCCATAGGATATTTCCTGAGATTATTAGTTGAAATGTTGCAGACAGGTACAAGAAGATAAATATTCAAAATAACAACAACCAAGTATTTTTCTGGTACTGTGGTACCAGAAGCTGGAGAATTACATGTAATCTTTTGATTATGGCTTACATCATCTTCAAAGAATGATTTTCTCTGATACGATAAAGCAGATGCATAATTTATTCTGTAAATTTATTATACTTTGCTGCATAAAAGCATTTTATTCATCTAAATAGGACTACAATTTGGAAAATCCAGTGGTGCAAAGGAGCATCTTGCCTGAAATGATGTATTGCATAGCACTTCAGCCATAACAGAAACACAAAGCAACAACATCAGGATCTGGAAACTCCTAAAAAGCCTGGAGGTGAAACAGAAAATCAAGATATAAACTGAACTTGTAGGGAAGAGAAGGCCATAGCAGGAAAATGAGGTTTACTGTCTGTATTAAGGATCATAAGAAGATTCTCAGATCATAACTATTTTATTTTTTTAACAGTGATCACATCAAATCTCTCTTATGTTAAAGCCTAGGTAGAAGGAGTTTTAGAAGAAAAGAAAAGCATTAAATTGCAGACCAGTAGTAGTTAAACCAAGAGATGCACAGAAACTGAAATATGAAATACATGAGCCATTAAAACCATTTTTTAAAAAGGGCTCCAGGGGAAGGACAGACCACTAAGTCTGTGGGGAAAATGGTAGTTCAAGGTTTAGCTCAATCAAAATGATGCAAAAATAATATTTACTGGTTAGCTGATACACTATAAATAAACCAAGTTGAATATGGCATCTGAGTTCAAAAATAACTTGAAAACAAATTCAAATGAGTTTTAAAAACAATTGGTCAGATGGACACGTGTTTAACATATAAACCAATAAAGTCTGTAGACAATCATCCACAGCACCCCATGGAATAGCTTACCTATGTCAGCAACAAGACTGCCAGGCTTCTGTTCCAGCAGAAAGTTTCGAACACGAGGCCATGCTTTGCTCTGCAGATCACTAAAGTAGGCAGCTATGTTTTCATATACACTATGCACGTGCTGCTTTTCTAGCTGGGTAGCCTCATGTTCCATCCTGAAAATGTAATGAAAAAAGATTATGTACAGCAAAACACAAACTGTTGTAGCATGGACTTTACACTTTAAAGACATACATAATTTAGGACCTTGTAAACTTACATTCATAGAATCATCACACCTGTCTAACAGACATCATACTTATAAAATGTTCTTTATTCAAAGGATCTGATCTTATTTCACAAAAGTAGAGAAAAACTTTGAATTCATCATCTTGCCTGAAGAGGATTATATAACCTCGTGTGCTTATTCAATAATATGCACATTCCTAAATAAGTTCACCAATGTGGTCAAAGCTTATTCAGTGCAAAATGGAGCCTTTATTCAGAAGAAATGCAGAATGGTGAGTAGGTAGGCAAATGTCTTCCAAGAAACTAAGCAATATATTATTAAGATGAAATTATGAAAGTGACTCTTCTGGCTGCATTTGAAAATGTCAGAGGCAAATACTTTAAACACACAACAAGTTCTTCTGTTTTCCTTGATTTTCAAAGAATACACATTTTTTAATCAAAATAAAAAAAACCACACATTTGTTTCTCTCATCTTTGCTGCTGAAATAAGTTATAATGAGAAAAGATTTAAATTCCAATATCGCATATAATAATAAATAATGTGAGGTATTCAAAACATCTGTCCTACAAGCACAATTTTTAATTAAGAAATTGGGACTTAACCCCAGTGACTGCAAAACAAAAAATATTTACTTCAAGTTAAGTGTGTATGAATGTCTACAGGAATAGTATCTAAGACTCGATCTGTTTCACTGGATTTAAGTACTTGGCTATGTAAATAGTTAGACCAAATTGTCACAATTGTCACAGTCTATTCTGACTGTAGTATCTATGAATATTTGTCTTCAACACTTTTATGTTTAATGGTTTCATAACCTTCACTTCCCTTTTTTCTGGTATGATCCACAATCTTCTTTTATGACACATTCGCTCATTTTTAGTGAGCTGAATATATACACACACACATATGTATACACATGAAATTCAGTAACACTATAGTAAATTCCTAGTAGACACATTTTAAAGTGTCATCTTAAAGACTGAAAAATGATAACAGACTGAACAGCAGAAGCAGACAGTATTGAAACACAAACTTGAAATGATATTACATGCAGCAGAAGTTACTCAGTCAGAACTTTTCTCAGAATGTCATTCCAAGTTACTTTGTCCAACAGGATGGGTTAGTTGCAGTAATTTCAAATTATTATTCTTTAAAGACAAAATCCCCTTCTTTTTTTTTATTCAATCCTTAAAAAAAAAACACTATTTAAGTGTTTCATTCTTCTCTGCCTCAAAACATACTCTGTTTTGTTGTTTAAGTGCCTAGAAATCCTCTATTCACAAGTAGAAATTCCAAAGACTAACAGTCATTTTGCCATCTGACATGCTCCTTGCCCTAGTTTATATTTCATGTTTGGTTACTGTGTGGTTCAGTGTGTCCAAGTTTTTTTTATTTCTCCACTTGAAGCACTTTGTTCAATCTTTGCAGTTTTCGGGAGAAAAAAAAAAAAAAAGTTTTATGGTTTCAGTCACTCATAATGAATTCCAAATCTTACCGAAATTCCAGTTTATACTGACTACAGGAGTAGTTGTATGAACTGAAGGTTAATTTGAAAAGTTTAAATAAACACAAACACCAACTTAGACTTGACTTAGAAGATAGTAAGAATTTTCCCATGGATACAATGTTCTAGTATACTTTCCCTAAAATGTCTTTATTTAATTCCAATGTAGGCTGAAACTTAATTTAGTTTTCTACTGCATCACAAGACCATTAAGTTTTTCCTTTAATTTTCTCACTCACCGGGACAGACACTGAGTCTTCTGCTATGTGGGACACGCTAGAGACGTCATGTATTAAAAGAATGCATTAGAGGTTATTATTTTTAGATACACTTAATAAACACTGTCAAGATAATATTCTGGTTATAATCTTAGAATAACAGTAGTCTACTAAACTATCAATTATATAATTTATCATTTCATTACAATTTCTATTCCTGTTATATTTTGTGTATAATTAAGTCCTGTGATGAAATCAGACTTGCCAATTTAATTTTCCAGTCAAAATCCATAACAATGTCAGGTTTTACTTTGTAGTACAGCAGAGAAATGTCCTAATGATAAACCACTTCATCTCAGTCATAGAACCATGGAATAGTTTGGGTTGGAAAGGGCCTTCTATATTATCTATCTCCAACCCTTCTGCCATTGGAAGGGACACCTCCCACTAGACCAGGTTGCTCAAAGCCCCATCCAGCCTGTCCTTGAAAACTACCAGGGAAGGGGCATCCACAGCTTCCCTGGGCAACTTGTTCCGGTGTCTCAACACCCTCATAGTGAAGAACTTCTTCCTAACCTAAATCTCCCCTCTTCCAATTTAAAGCCATTACCCCTTGTCCTCTTACTACATGCCCTTGTAAGAAGCCCCATCCTCAGCTTTCCTGTAGGTCCCCTACAGGTACTGGAAGGCTGTTGTAAGGTTTCCCTGGAGTCTTCTCTTCTGTAGGCTGAACAACCCCAAATGTTTATGAAGGGCAAGAAAACTGTAGAGTCTGATCTGGCTTGCAGCTGTACCAGTTTCACAGAAGTCTAAAGTCACTAAAAGCATCAGAAACGTAGAACTAAAAAAGTTTATAAACCAAACTCAACATCCTTATTTCTCTTTATAAACAAAACAAACCATGACAATTCTTTTTATATTCAAAGTACCAGACAGTGTCACTGTTACACACAAATTGTAGAAAATGTTCAGTTCATCCAACTTCTGTATTGTAACTTCCAGGATAACTGAAAAGTCTGCTTTGCAAAGGAGGTAATGAAAATCCAAAATGTCCAGAAATCCCACTCTTTTAGCCATCTGCTCCAGTTCTCATCTATGTAACCTGGAAACTGTTTGATAAGCCAGTAAAGACCAGAAGGTAATAATTGTGGACACACTATCCCTATGTTCAGTTCCTCTTTTCTTGTGTTTTAACTTACGCTCCTGTCAAAGGGTTCACACAGAGACTTAATGCAGAGTAGGGAGAGTGCAGTAAACGGGTGCCCAGCTGTTCATTCACTCTGCAGCAAGTCTTGACAAGACTCCAAAATGTGGATGCAGCTTAAGAAATGTAAGACACCTGCAAACAAGTGGTTTGGATAACAAATATAAAGGGGGATTCTCTTCCCTTTCAATGCTTCCTGGTCATCAAGGTTCATTCACGAGTGTACAAGAGGCCCCTGTTGCAGCTGATCTATAAAGTGAGAAAACTGGATGAAAGTTGTAGTGTCATTTCTGTTGAACTTGCAAGGAATTGAACCACCAGTCCACCACATGCAACTGTAGGATACAAACAAAACTGTTAGAAAGTAACTAAGTGATTATTTTCCTACATTGCTTATTCCTATTAAAAAAAAAAAAAAAGGCAAAATTAAAAATAAACTGAAATCTTATAGCTTTCCAGGAGGCAAAAAGAATTGTACAAACATATGGTATCATATATTTTCATAGCTACTCATCTCACTAAGTGTCCTGACTCCAAAGGAACCTAATTTCTTCCTTTTCCATTAACATTTTGAAACCTTTTAGGTAATTAAGTTTTCAAGGATATGGAAAGTCATGTTGCTTAGACATTTTCTATCACTGCCAAAGCAGTAAACACATTTAACTATGTCATCTTGAAACGACAGCAACCAAAAATTAAGAATTCCTGTTTAAAACATTTTTAAATGTCAGAATTATTTTTTAGGAGGTGGGGGTGGGGTGGAGGGCATTCCAGAATTTGTTTTGTTTAGTTTTTTAATGTGTCTGACTTGCAGTTTTGACTAACTGTATTAAATACTTTATCCTTAAATGGACAAAACAGTTGTCGGCTCTCGAATGCAAAGGGTGCCCTAACACTGAAGTGCAGGAGGTACTGTTCAGTCCAAAACTCTGCCTCTGCCACAGCCTACCCCAAACCTTTCCACATCTTCCTGTAGTTCTTCTGAGTCCTTTGCAGCCCTCCTTATCCACCTCAAGTTGCTTCTCCCAAACACCTAAGATTTTCATGTCTTCCTCTGTCTACCTTAGTGTGTGCTATGGCACCACCACTATTTTCATTTGATGTATAATATTGTGAAGTCTTGACCTGGCCTACGTTCTGTTCTCGTCTCTGTTTCCAGGCCAGTCACAATACCCAGAGCACATTCTGAATATTTTTTTTTCAATGGTCTCTCAGAAGTACCCTGTGATTTTCACAGTAGTCATCAAATCCTGCCTTGCTCCTGCTTGTCTTCAAATTAATTGATCTGGAGCCATGGGCTTTTATTTGTCTTCTCTCCTGCAACTGCCTGTCTTCAGTTTGAGAGTTAGATATGCAAGATTTCAGTCTATTAATGAGGGCCCCTCTTAGTTATACTCTTCATGAACTGATGGCAACCCTCAACCCCATTTTGGATTCATAGAACCCCTACTTCAAAGATCTAGGAAATTCAGCACAATTGTGTCTCTCTCTGTTGCTACAGCAACATAAACCTTGGTTACACATGCAACTCCAGCTTCAGATGCAATAACCCAATTAATCACTAGCCTTAAATCGAACAGTATAAACCACAAGGGCCAGGTCTATGTCCCACAATACCCTTCTCTCCAGCAGTAATATGTGCAGCTGTAGCTGACAGCGAGGTCAAAAGTGAGGTAATCCAATTTGCATTCTCTCCCTTCATCTACAGAACAGAGAAAATTATTGATATAGTGAGCAATACTTCCAGGTTACTTCCAGCTTGTGCCAGAGTCACCAGTCTTTTCACTCAAATATAAGAAGCCATGGGAAGGTAAGGGTACAGCCCTAATCATCACCTATATATCATAGTCTTTTTTTCCAAGCAAATACAAAAATCCATTTAATCCCCAAGTGCAAGATCCCATTGCAGCCCTTCTCCTAAAAAACCCTAAAATTTCTTTATCAGAACTTTGCTTATTCTTGGGATTTAATTTAAACAACCCCCATTCTGTTGGAC